GACCCGTGCTCCCTGTTGTTCAATGTCTGAAACCAGCTGTTTACAGTATTTTGCTGTTTTCTAGCTGTTTGTAGTGGGAGATCAAATCTGTTCTTGCTACTCCATCATAGATTGGAAGCAAAAGTTCTGCTTTTATTTTTAGTTTTCAACTTTTTTCTGTATAGCATTGAGTTGGGTTTGGTTTTATAAGTCAATCTGAAAATCTCTTAAATGGGTGACTTAAGCTGTTTTTCGTTGATTGACATGCCAGATATGTTTGGCCTCAGTTCTGTCTTTATTTTATGTTATGCTTATTTTTTATATTCAAGTCATTCCTATTCTTCTTTTTTCTTTTTTTTGAGGGGGGTAAGGTTCTTCTTCAGTTTAGGTAGCCTTATATTTTTAGTTATTATCTTCACCAATTCATAAATTCATCTCTCACTTTTTTTCCACTTGCTTCTATAAAGAAAATGGTAATGCAGTTTTATTTGTTGTATATAGACATAGATCTTAGGCTAACTGCTATTATTATATTTATTTTACAGATGATGAAATAAAGCTCAAAGAGCTTCAGTTCCAAAGATTACAAACCAGGAAGGTGCAGAAACAGAGTCTGAATCCAAGACCACCTGACTTTGAAGTCCACTTTCATTTTATTCTATTCTATACAATGCTAACTATATTATATACCACATCACACTACTCCATAGCATACTGTGTACTATGCACCCTCCTTACTTTCTGGGGGTGAATTTGAAATTCTGAAAAATATACATACTATGAAGTTTCATGTTGTTGTTTAATCTTTAAGTGATGTCTGACTCTTTTCGACTCCATGGACTGTAGCCCAGCAGGCTCCTCCGTCCATGGGATTTCCCAGGCAAGAATACTGGAGTGGGTTGCCAGGGCCTTCTCCAAGGGCTCCTCCTGACCCAGGACTGAACCTGAGTCTCCTGCATTGGCAGACAAGTTCTTTACCAGTGAGCCACCAGGGAAGCTTCATAAAGTTTCCTAAGTATTATTAAATAACCATTACTGAGTTTAAAGACAGGTACATTAGTTCAGTTGTTAAGTTGCTTGTTATGACTGTTTTTATTTCCAAATGATAACCAAAAATAATTTTTGCATGGTAAAGAGGGGCTTTTTTTCCCCTCATATTTTAAACTTTCCTACAAGGAATGAATTTAAAGAAGTTAGGTAGTTCCCTAACTCAAATCTAAGTCAGGGGCAAATTTCCCTACTTAGTAATTAAAGAACTCACATGTATTTCCTTAAGGGACAGAGAGGCCAGAGCCCTTTCAGGTCGTGCCTGAAGATGAGCACAGACAGATGAATATGGCCACAGGGAGGTCATGAGGCAGCAGGATATTGAGACAAAAATCCAGGGTTCCTGTCCTGAGTCTGTGGCTCATGAGCTGGGGAGCCTTGGGCAAATAAATCACTTACCCTCTTGGGATTTCAGTTTTCTCATTTTTAGAAAGAGTGTGTTGGACTACATATCTTATGTAAGATCTCCTCTAGGGCAAAAATGATATAATTTTATATTCTTAAAAATGGGGACGTGTGAGTTATACTGTTGTAGTTAAAACACACACACACAGCTTACAAAAGCACTATATACACCAGATATCTAAAGGAAATGCCAATATATTAAAAAAATCAAATGTATATCTCTGGGTGGTAGAATTTCCTTCTGAATGTTTTTCTGCCTCTTTCAATTTCTGTACAATGAATATGTATTATTCTTGTAATCTGAAAAAATGTATTTTTTTTAACACATTGGAAACTGCAAGAGAACCAAAAATAGAATAAAACAACCCAAATTTTAATGTAACCAGGATACCAGACAGAAGGCCCAACATCCCACACATTATGAAACGTTTTAAGATGTCAGGGGGTCAGGATCTCATCTGACAGATGGACTCACCAATAACCCAGTCCCTCTCAGCAGTATCCGGGGACAGTGTTTCCATAATGACTCACAAGGACTGTGCCAGCCAACCCCAGAGCACGGCCTTTTCCATTTCCAGCTCCAGAGTTGTGACGGCCTGACACTGTGGTTCTCATGGAATTCTGAAACAAGCCTGGCTTCATCATAATGACTGCCTATTCAAGGCAGAAATGGGAAGGAGGATATGACTAATGACATTTGGAGGCAATATGGGAACAAAACCAAAAATTACAGTGACTCTCTGGTTGGGACATGCTGGATAGAAACAGAACTGTGTATTCACAAGTCCAGGAGTTTGTGGCCTGGCCAAAGGACCAGAGGCAAAAATAAACAGCAGACCTGCCCAATTTGTCAGTTATGAGAGATGAAGACGTGAGATTCAGGATGAAAGGTGGGATGAAGCCATCTGACAGGTGGGCCTCTTAGCACTAGGGCAAACTCCCTTGGTCTGGGAACTATAAAGAGAGGGAGACCCACTTTGGCATGAAGGACAGTCTCAGTTTTCTGGTAAGCATCACATTCTCCCCCTGCCTCAGATCTATCCCAATGGCACATCACCATGATCATGGTAAATTTAAATAAAATCATTGCCATTTTGTAAGCTCAGCCAATTGTGTAAAATACACTTCTTCCAGGCCCTCTGGTTTCCATTGATTAAAACAAGGGTTCTTACCCTAGAATTGTAGATTCTAAGGGGTCTACAAATAAAATTCAGGGGTCCTTCAACTTAGGAGAGAGAGAGAGAACCAATGCTTGTTCATTTCTCTAGCCTCAGACTGAAATTTAGTATTTCCTTCCAAATGCATGTTGGCAACACACCACAGTTATATTAACAATGCCTTGACATTACTCCCAAGAGAGAGTATGGGAACATTCAAATCACACTGCAAATGTTGCACATGTCTCAGAATATTGTTTATGTTCATTACTGCTTGAAAATTACAGAACTTAGACCCGCCTCTAGATCTTCTTAGCTAATGCATTAATTAAGAAGTACATCTATTACTACAGTGCACAAATTAGTTAGAAAAATATGTTAATAACTATAAACACTATAACTGTTTCCTTTGGAGTCCTATATTTTACTTTGTATATTTGGAAACATTATTCTGAGAAGCAGCCATAGGTTTCACAAGATGGCCAGAGGGTTCACAGAATAAAAGCAGTTCAATATTTCTCCAATAAATGATATGCACTTTCTTTTTCACCCACATTCAATATGAATGTCAATTCGAGACACTGGCCATTGGCAATAAAAATAGTGACTCTTGAAAGACGGCTGGAATTTGCAGAGCAGAGCATTAGAGAAGAAAGATTTGCAAGGAGAAAAGACTCTAGAGATCTGCAGGAGATGCCCTCAAATACTCATCTGAGGACAAATCAGCATGTTTGTGAGAGAAAACAACCCACGACTGAGCAAAGAATCCCCACAGGAATCTGAGGGAACAACTCCTGGAGCTCACACTGAACAGGGGCTTCATAAGATATTGGGTATTAGTTTTGCCTCGCTAGTTGAGGGAAATTAGCCCTAAACAAAACACTGCAAAACACTATTCTGGTTCCTCCTATCAAAGCTTAGAAGTAAGATCTTAAAAAGTCAAACTAGTCCCAAGTTACTTAACTGAATTTCAGAACAAAGCTCAAGAATATTAATAGGAATAAAAATACAAAAGTGCCTAGCATGTAACAAGGTAAAATTTACAACACCTGTATCCAATTAAAAAAGCACCTGGCATGCAAAAGATCAGGAAAATATGAACCATAATGAGAAAAAAATCAATAGAAACTGACCCAAAAATGACATGAATGTTATAAAGAGCCAGCAAAGACAGTTATTATAACTGTTTTCACGCATTCAAGAAGATGTATGAAGATTATATATGTATTAAGTTTGGTAAAAAAGTAATTGCGGTTTTGGATTGTGAATTTTAAACCACTATAACTAGGCTCAAACACACCTTTATTAATTAACATAGGAGCCATTACAATCAACACAATTTTGCCAATGAGAAATAAGTTTGTTTATTCCTGTAGCGTAAAAATCTGTGTGTCAGGATTTGATGACTCTTGGAAAGTGTTTTCTGTTTCTTGCTGGTCGTGGAAGCATTTTTTCTGCAAAGAGTTGTTGAGATGCTTGAAGAAGTGGTAATCAGTAGGCAAGAGGTCAGGTGAATATGGCAGATGAGGCAAAACTTCATAGCCCAATTCATTCAACTTTTGAAGCACTGGTTGTGTGATGTGTGTGGAGAAGAATTAGGCCCATTCTGTTGACCAGCGGCGGCTGCAGGTGGTGCATTTTCAGTGCATCTCATCAATTTGCTGAGCATACTTCTCAGATGTAATGGTTTTGCCAGGATTCTGAAAGCTGTAGTGAATCAGATCAGCAGCAGACCACAAAACAGTGACTGTGACCTATTCTGGTGCAAGTTTGGCTTTGGGAAGTGCTTTGGAGCTTCTCCTCAGTCCAACTACTGAGCTAATCATCTCAGGTTCTCATATAAAATCCACTTCCCATTGCACATCACAATCTGATCGAGAAATTGCTGTTGTTGCCTAGAATAAAAGAAGACAACACTTCAGAACGATTATTCTTTTGATTTTCAGTCAGATCAAGAGGCACCCACTTATTGAGCTTTTTCACCTTTCCAATTTGCTTTAAACACCAAAAGACTGTAGAACGGTCTGTGTTGAGTTCTTCAGCAACTTCTCCTGTAGTTCTAAGAGGATCAGTTTCAATGATCCTCTCAATTGGTTATTGTCACCTTCCAATGGCTGGCCACTGTGTTCCTCATCTTCAAGGCTCTTGTCTCCTTTTCAACACTTTTTGAACCACCACTGCACTGTGTATTTGGTTTGTTAGCAATTCCTGGGCCAAAATGCATTGGTGATGTTGCAAGTTATCTCTGCTGCTTTACACTCAGTTTGAACTCAAGTAAGAAAACTGCTGGAATTTGCTTTTTGTCTAACACCATTTCTGTAGTCCCAAATATGTCATTATAAAAAAAATAAAGCAAGGAATGTGCATTAAAATGATGTATAACTACACTTATTTAAGAATGTATTCCAGCAGAGAAGCAAGATGGCGGCCCCCGTGGATCTGGAGTTGAAGAAGGCCTTCACAGAGCTTCAAGCCAAAGTTATTGACACTCAGCAGAAGGTGAAACTTGCAGACGTACAGATTGAACAGCTGAACAGAACGAAAAAGCATGCACATCTTACAGATACAGAGATTATGACTTTGGTAGATGAGACTAACATGTATGAAGGTGTAGGAAGAATGTTTATTCTTCAGTCCAAGCAGGCAATTCATAATCAGCTGTTAGAGAAACAGAAGATAGCAGAAGAAAAAATTAAAGAATTGGAACAGAAAAAATCCTATCTGGAGCGGAGTGTGAAGGAAGCTGAGGACAATATCCGGGAGATGCTGATGGCGTGAAGGGCACAGTAGGCAGCCTCTCAGGAACCTCTTCTTTCTGATTCCTGCCATTCCTGGCGAGGAGCCTGTGCAGGGAAACTGCTCTGCCTGAGGGACATTTTATCTGGATGGTCTAGTAAACTTATGTTTTATGCACGGCCTGGACCCCTTTCAAATCTCATCCTTATATGTTTTATCCTGGCTCTGCCTGCCACCACTTCTCCCCTGTGGGTGGTTGAATCACAAACTCCAGGGAAGGGAAGATGGGAGCCAGGACAGATAGGGGAGTTCTTCCAGGGCCTACTGCTGGTCACGCCGATCAGACCAATAAAAGACATCTGTCCCAGTAAAAAAAAAAAAAAAAAAAAAAAAAAAAAAAAAGAATGTATTCCAACATCAAACAGCAAAGTTCAACAAATGCAAAGCCACAATTATTTTTGCACCAACCTAGTATAATCTACATACATAACATAAGTATTTGCTGTTCAGTTGTTAAGTCATGTCTGACTCTTTGCGACCCCATGGACTGCAGCATGCCAGACTTTCCTGTCCTTCACCATCTCCCAGAGTTTGCTCAAACTCTATTGAGGCAATGATGCCATCGAACTATCTCATCCTCTGTCACCCCTTCTCCTACTGCCCTCAATCTTTCCCAGTATCAGGTCTTTTCCAATGGATTAGCTCTTTGTATCAGACGGCCAAAGTATTGGAGCTTCTGCTTCAGCATCAGTCCTTCCAGTTGATTCAGGGTTGATTTCTTTCAGGATTGACTGGTTTGGTCTCCTTGCTGTCTAAGGGACTCTCAAGAGTCTTCTCCAACATCACAGTTCAAAAGCATCAATTCTTTGGCACTCGGCCTTCTTTATGGTCCAACTCTCACACCCATACACGACTGTTGGAAAAACCATACCTTTGACCATATGGACCCTGGCTGGCAAAGTGATGTCTCTGCTTTTAAATACACTGTCTAGGTTTGTCATAGCTTTTTTCCCCAAGTAGCAAGCATCTTTTAATTTCATGGTTGTAGCCACCATTTGCAGTGATTTTGGAGCCCAAGATAAGAAAATCTGTCACTGTTTTTATTTTTTCCCCATCTATTTGTCATGAAGTGATGGGACCAGATGCCATGATCTTAGTTTTCTGAATGCTGAGTTTTAAGCCAGCTGTTTCATTTTCCTCTTTCACTTTCATCAAGAAGCTCTTTGGTTCCTCTTTGCTTTCTGCCATTAGAGTGGTATCATCTGCATATCTGAGGTTGTTGATATTTCTCCAGGGAATCTTGATTCCAGTTTGTAATTCATCCAGCCCAGAATTTTGCATTATGTACTCTGCATATTAGTTAAATAAAGCAGGGTGATAATATACAGCCTTGACATGCTTCTTTCCCGGTTTGAATCAGCCTTTTGTTTCAACATCCTCCTATCAGTGGTTGTTCAGTAGCTAGTTGCAATTTTTGTGTTCTCACTGGAGAAGATGAATGCATGTTCTTCCAATCCACCATATTAAAACTTAATGCAGCATAAGTATACATATATATATATACATATAAATGGGCTTCCCTGGTAGCTCAGACGGTAAAGCGTCTGCCTACAATGCGGGAGACCTGGGTTCGATCTCTGGGTTGGGAAGATCCCCTGGAGAAGGAAATGGCAACCCACTTCAGTATTCATGCCTGGAAAATCCCATGGATGGAGGAGCCTGGTGGGCTACAGTCCATGGGGTCGCAGAGAATCGGACACGACTGAGCAACTTCACTTCACTTCATATATGTGTGTGTATATATATATATATACAACACTACTTTATATATTTATATATATATAAAACTACTTACAATGTTTAAATGTATATCAGAATTCAAAAGATGAAAATTACCATGTCTGAGAAAAAAAAAATACACAAGATAGTATTAATACCAAAGAAGATAGGATTGATTTGAAGCTGTAGAACAAAAGTTCAATGAGCATGAAGACAAAGCAATAGGAACTACCCAAAATGAAACACCAAGGGGAAAAAAGATTAATAAACAGTAGCAGAGGATCTGTGAGTTATGGGACCGCTTTAAGTGGCCTAATATATATGTAAATGGAATCTCCATGGGAGGAAAGGGCAGAAAAAATATTTGAAGAAATAATGGTTCCCAACAAATTACTAAAAACTTTAAACCCACACTCTAAATTTAAAAAGCTCAATGAAATTCAAGCTTTAAATTTCTCAAGAAACTTGGAGGAAACAAAGGTACATTGTAATCAAATTTTTTGAAACCAGTGATAAAGAAAAAACCTTAAAACCAAGAAAGAAGACTTAATCTTCAGAGGAATAAAGGTGAAGAATGTAGCACATTTCTTATCTGTAACAATGCAAATGAGACAATAGTGGATGAACATCTTCAAAGCACACCACACACACACACACACACCCCTAAGCACCCAGGTGGCGCTACTGGTTATTATACAAAGTATTTAGAGAAAAAAATAATACCATATTTTAAAACTGTCCCAGAAAACTGAAAAGGAGGAATATTTTCAACTCATGCTATGAGGTCAGCATTATACCCTGATACCAAAATCAGACAAAGATATTACAAGAAAAGAAACTACAGATTCAAATGCCTCATGCACATAGATATGAAAATCTTAACAAAATTTTAGCAAATCAAAGTAATTCCTCTGAAGAGTCTAAACTTTTAAAAATAGCTCCATATTCTCTGTTTATTGAATCTTCTCTAATGCCAGCCTGGAGTGAGGGACTACGTATGTATTTATATCGTCTCTAAACCTCATGAAAACCCTTGAATTTTACAATTGTTAAACACATTGTATAGATGAGGAAAATGAAACTCAGAGAAGTTACATCCTCAAGATCACATAACTGTTAACTGGATTTGAATACCAGGCTTCTATGATATTTCTCTGCTTGCTGAAGAATGTAAAACATTTTCTTCAAGGAGTTCTAACTGTAACTTTAGTCTGAATTGTTCCCCCAAAATGAACACAAAAGGTAAGAGAATTTATTCTCAGTTGACCTGTATCACAAGAAAAGTTAAAGAAAGTTTTTCATGAAAAAAGAAAGTGACACCAGATGGAAATGTGCATCTGCACAAATTAAGAGCAGTGTAGTAGTGGTAAGAGCTTCCCCAGTGGCTCAGGAGGAAAGAATCCACCTGCGATGCAGGAGACACTGCAGGAGAGGCAGGTTTGATCCCTGGGTCAGGAAGACCCCCTGGAGGCGGGCATGCAACCCACTCCAGGGTTCTTGCTGGAGAATCCCAGGGACAGAGGAGCCTGAATGGCCACAGTTCATAGTGTTACAAGGAGTCAGACGTGACCGAAGTGACTTAGCAGGCACTCACACATGTCGAAGTGGTGAATATGTGAGCAAGCAGAAAAGTCTTTGCACTGCAGACCAGCCATGCACCTATTTGTCCCCTGCAGAAGGTTGGTCGGGTTCACGGCTACCTGTGGTAGATTTCTGGGTGCCACCAGGGGGGTTATCAGAGCAAACTTTAGGTTCTGAGGGCGTACCTCAAAGTCTGAAAAGGTGCAGTACTTCAGTTGTAGACAAATAGAAAGCTACAGATCATTCACACTGGAAGAGCTACTGTGTGTGCCTGCCTTCCCCAAGAATGCTTCAATTTACAGTGCCAGCAGGAAGTCATGGGAGTGTTTGTAGCCATCTGTTGCTGTGTGGAGCAATAAGAGTGGGTTGTAAGGACAGGCTGAGGTGGTTGCTCTGTGTCTGACCCTGCGGTAAGTGACTCATGTGCCTCCATCTGTCTACTCTTCACACAGTGTTCTTCCCATTTTACAGATGAAGAAACTCAAAGATAAAATACTACTGAAAAAGGCAAAATGCAGAACAATGTATACAGTATACGACGTTTCATGTCAAAGAAGGGCAAATAAGAATATATACATGCATGCATTCACATGTATACATATGTGCTTATTTCCACAAATAGAAACATAGAAGCTAATGAAAACGGCACCGGGATGGTGGCAGGATGGGAAGATGGGAGACTGGGGAGACAAGAGTGTGGTAAAGAGATTGTGGCTGGCACATGTCCTTCTCTTTTTTCATAGCTTTGACTTTTGATCTATGTAAATGTTTCATATGCTCAAAATACAGCATTTAATTGAAAAAAAATGAAAAAAATCAAACATTATAACTGAACATAAGCTAATGAACACTATCAAATTGATAACATATTTATGCAAAGAAAATAATTATTTCAAGTAAGTTAAATTCTCTGCATTCTCGGAGGTGAGCTTATAATTTGGAAAGCAACAAAACAGTTTCATAATAAGCAGAGAGGAACTGCTGAACAAAAGTCCTGTTTCTGTTCTATCTGCTCCTTGAGGACAAAGAGCTTCCTCTACAACTTGCAGTTTCCTGTCTAAATTAAAAAGCTGGAACTGAACAATCAGAAGAAATATGAGCTGTCATTTTGACGACCTTTTCTTAAATAGGGAAAAATATAATAACAGGGTACCAATGAATATGTTGAAAGGAGGGTTCAATTAACGTAAAGAGCTAATTGGCAGGGTTTAGAGAAAGCTATAATAATCTAGCCGCTGCTGTGGTTAGTAAACAAGAACTTGAGTGATTTAATTTTTTGCATGGAAAGTAGAGAATTCTCAGATAAATCAATGAAAGGTGAGGGACCTGCTTTCATTGCTGAATATTTGTATTATGTGGATCAAAATCTGGTGTAAAAATATCTGAGGGGCATCATGGTGATAGATTGGTGGATAAAAGTATGAAAAGCAGTTGAGAAAAAAAAAAGACTGTATAAATACATACGTAGTCCCTCACTCCAGTGTCTAGATTTGCTAGACACTTGGCAAATCTCTGTAATATTTGGTGAATGAAGTCAAAGAGGGTCGTGCTATGTATTAAATAATGACTGTCAAGCAGGCACTCTTCATCATGAATATTGTTCAATTAAATGATAGAGTTTACTGAGGATTAACTTGAAATAGCTACCAGTTTCTGAATTATGGTTTTGGTTTTTGCTATTCTCAGACATGAATATCTTAGTTTCTAGAATTTTGAATCAAGCTAAATATCTTAGCAAAAAGAAATATTTCTTATTTTTAAACTCTTTTAAAATATTTGACTATTTGGAGTAAAATAAAAATAATGTA